ATGAGGTGCATCAATCTAGTGTTTGATATGAGCGTTCGTTTCAGCTGTCAGTTGAGGATTGTGAGGATGGTGCAGGGTGAGGCAGGCAAGCTGACACTTAATGTATTATCATATGGAGATTTTGTATGACCTAGTAGCCACGGCTCATGCTTGGGGAGAAGTTCAAATTTTATTCTAAAAAAATCAGATGGCCGAATGAGCTGTTGCATACTTCAGTGCTCATGAATTACCAAGTATTACTCTCGTTCCATTTCCAAACTTCTAGCCTCATTCCTTCCAACTCGTATATCATAAATGTAAGAGAATGGTGCTCTCCGGGTCACAACTAGCCACACCGCTTCGGCAAAAATATCAAATGTATGTAAAATTAGGACTTCCCGACCCAAGGCAGAGACTTTGGATGTTAAATTTTGACAACGATCCTGGGCTGTTACTTGATCCGTCCCGCAATTTTGGCCGCATCAACGACGCAGACTGGATATATTGGAGATCCATCTCTCCTTCATACCCTCCACAGTTAGATCTGCATGAGCTAATAATATAAATCACAGCAGGACCACGTCTCAACTTCATATATGTTCCAGAGATCAACGCGCTTCATGTAGTCTGCACCATGATCTCTCGCCTTTTTGATTAAGAACACACACTTTTTATAATTCTCTTTGCTGGCGGCTGACAGAGGGCAGAGGGTTTCGTCTTGGTCTGTAGGGATTGCACCAAACTTTAGCAATATTCTAACCTCGTCATAATACCCCCATTTGGCTGTGTGCCACAGAATGGACTTTCCGTCTACGATAGCTTTTGGATCTGCACCGTTCTCGAGAAGGATGCTTGCAACCTGGCAGCGGGTGTGCCGAAAACAGTACGAGAGGGCATAATATAAGGGTGATTTATGTACCTCGCTATCATTCGGGTCCAGAAAGCCGTTGGTGATGAGAGAACGTAAAGCACCCCAGTTACCACTTCTGAACGCGAATTCCATGGCTGACTTGTCGACTTGTACATTCTCCAGGAGGCCATAGTCAGCAGGATTGTATGCCCTTTTCCCAAAAACCAGAGCGCCATATAGTAGCTGCTTGTTTCTCATTTCTATACCTTCATTGACCAGAGTTTTGTTGAAGGATAAGGGCATGGACTGTCTCATGGCATCGTCTTTATAAAGAAATTTAAAGATTAAGTTGCCAGCGTCAGTCCTATGCAGTCGCATAGCTAACATAAGGGCCCCGCCAATTGTATGAGCAGCCGTTCTCATCTCATTCCAAGTTCTCGCTTCCGGCCTACGTTTGACATGCTTTTGAAGATAGTCCAGTATCATAGACAGAGCCTTCGTCTTCCCGGATGCTACAGCCGCATCTAAAGCGTTTGGGAAAATCTTAATCTTGGTCAATAGTAGTTCGGGATATGTCTTGACGCTCCGTTTCAGCAATACTATTGCTCCGACAGCGGCAGCGAGAGCGGGTAGGAGGCTTTGGAACATGCTCTCGGCCATGGTAGAGGTAGCTACGGTGCCAAGAAGAGCCTTCGAAAGTGTCTTTATGTCCAAAGTCATCAGTACTTTGCAGATCTGGTACGTATACTGGGCCCGCAATTTCTCAAGCTCGGAAGCTTGGGGGCTGCGGGCGCGCAGAAGAGATACCACACTGCATCTCACAAACTGAAGCAGATTGTTTTGCGGCTCCCTCGAGCTCAGAGCCCTTTTGGTTAATATTTCGCTTCCATATATCATAAAGAGAGTTTGGAACGTTTTGTCTGCGATCTCGCCTACCAAATAAGTGAAGCGGACTTTAGAACAGCGTGAAGCTACCGCTTGAGCAATACATCTATTGAACGTTCCTACTCATGTTAGAAATGCTATGCTAAGTGAATTCAATGCCCTTACTACAAACTAGACGGTACTCCGCTACAGTCTCTGCATGGTATGAACCGCCAAATGTAAGAACGAAAACAATCTGATCAAAGATCTCCTGTGGTAGATCAAGAAGACCCATTTCGGAGATGTTGTGAAGTATGATCACAATATTCGGTTAATTGCGTGAGGTCAAGAAGAAGGTTTGGAGTGTGAGGGAATTATTTGAAGAAGCAAAAATGGGTAGTAGGTGGAGCGAGCTGCCTTCACTTTCACTTTGCTTTACGCTAGCGCCTCAAATAGTGGGCCGCTGAGGTAAGAGTCAAAATTTTCCTAGGTGAAAGGGAGTCGCCAAGAATCCAATAACCAGTCTAAACGCCTTGAACTTCGTGTCCGATGGAGACTGGTCTATCAGCCTGATACGGCGATGTCGCTAACGAGAGATGAAGCAAGTGATGGTGTCCTCAGCTCTTTACGCCTGTGCAGCCCATACAACTTCAACGCTAATCTTGGAATCAATCAAAGTAAGAGAGGATTTTAACAGAGACAAGCTTAGAACGTCAACATCAGGGAAGGTGTGACTATGCAACATTCAACACAAGACGACACTGAATTCGCATATTGCTTTTAGTTGCCAGCAAACTTTACATCGTAGACGACCCCTTCATAAATCTGCCACGATATTGGCGAGTCCTATTTGCTATATGACTTTTTTGGTTGTAAATAGCTTCGTTCTTTAGCCGTCGACTCAAACGCACATGCATTTGATATTCTTTGACAGTGTGAAGATTTCTAGCTCAAGTCGTGCAAAAGCTAAGGCTTTACGAGCGGAAAAATTCAGTTCGTAGTAGCCATTAGTAGAGATAGACCTAGGGGTTCCCGAGAAGTCTAGATCAATCCGGCTTCTAGAGTGCATTGTTCAATGAGTATAGACATTGAGCGACTGAATCGCGGCGAACGGCTTGTTTGGAAGGCCGAAGTTCGCGAGTACCAAGCCAAACAGTATTAAATCGCTAAAAAAACACTCTTTAGCAAACCTTTAAGCATACTGTCGTGTAGTAGAACCCATATGTGATCGAGGAGGGTTAGATAAACTTGAGGCTCTGTAGGGGCGAGGGATCAGATGGGCATGTAGACTCCGACACCTGATCAAATAACTCTCAGTTTACTCAATTCTGATCAATCCACTGATTGCGGGTCGGTATCTGCTCCGTACCCCATTTGTATGTTATTACGCCTCAATACTCATTGTTTTTTCATGTAAAGATATTAGGCATCTCTGGTAGCTTATAATTAGGTTCACTCGACGGAGATAAATGCTGGTCTGTCAAACTCCCATCACTACGTATAAATTGAAGATGAGTACTGACTCAAAATAAATATTCAAATTCAATCTTCCAATGCTAAAGACTTACGTCCATTTTTAGCGCTACAAAATATGCATCCTTTACCCAATCGAGACCTAGTTAAAGGGCAACAGTGGGTGAATTGGTTTACGCCGATCATTTGCGGAAGTAGCATCATGCCTAGCACCACATAGCGTTTACGAAATACATAATTGAATGGCTATTCTAGCTCCCTATATCCTATATAAAGCCATCTATACTTCCTCACTCTCTCCCAACCTCACAATCAACCTCAACCTCCAACCTCAATCAACCACCACGCCCAATTACATTTCAAATGTCGAACCATCAACTTCAAATCCTCCCCACCGCCATCATGTCAAAGTAACCAACCCCTCCCTACCCCCCTCACACTGTACTCACTCACTCACACACCCCCCAGCCCCACCGAAACCATCAAAATCAAAGTCTCCAACACCACCTTCAAAATCCCCAAACACCTCGTCCCCCAAATCCCCTTCTTCGCCACCGCCCTCGATCCCTCACCATCCAAAACCCTCCTATCCCTCCCCAACGAAAACCCCCAAACCTTCAAAACCTACCTCACCTACCTCCGCACGCGCAAAATCCCAACTTCCCTCGCCCACCCCGCCCTCGCAAAACTCTACGTCCTCGGCGAAGCGCTGCTCGACCGCGCGTTCCAGGGCGCCGTCATGACCGCGATAATGGACAACTGCGAGGACGTACAGGACTTCCCGTGTGCCGAGGCGATTGCCACCATCTACGCGGGCACGCCCGAGGGCTCGCCGGCGCGGCGCCTCTTGGTCGATTTGTGGGTGTGGGCTGGCGAGGTGGGCTGGTTGTGTGACGAGGATTTCGAGCAGAAGGGGTATATCCGGGAGCTTGTGGGGGGGCTGTTGGAGGGGCGGAATAGGCCGTATGGGGAGGTGCCGTGGGAGTGTTTGAGGGAGTTGTATTGTTATCAGGGGAGTGAATGGGTTGGGGTGTGTTTTGGGGGTTGGGATGGGATGGGAAATGGATAGCTCAGTTGTGGGATTGGGAGGGGGGGTTAGTAGGTAGGGGACGGTGGGTGAGGACTTGGGTTCTTTTATATGGACGTGGGATTGAGATGAGTTCTTTCATACTGGATTTGGGTTTCTTTAAATCACGGGCATGATAGTTGATATGTGGTTCAGTCAAATAAATATGCGGGGCAAACTCTGTCCCTCCTCACCACCAAACTCCACCCCAACCCTCAAGCCAGCCCCTCCATAAGCCCCTCCACCCCTCCATCCCCGCCGCACGCCCCCTTGCCCCTCTGGTTTCCCTTTGCCCCTCCGGTAGCTCTGCAATCTACGCCTTTGCGCAAACTTTCCGCTTTGAGTAAAATGCCTCTGAACACAACGTGCCCCTGGCAAGGTTCACCTTTTTCTTAGCCGCGGGGCTCGGTGGTGGAGAGAGGGGGTGGTGGCGAGATATTTTTTTTAGGGGGAAGTTTATTTGGGTGTTGATGCTATGCAGCTACCTAGTGGTGATGGGGTGATGGGGTGATGGGGTGATTGGACTTTTTGGTAGTCTTGGTGAATGCGAGTGTGTATGGGATTGCTGAGTGAAGTGGCATTCTTTCAGTGTAGAATTTATACGAAAAAAAGACATGGGCATACGTTTCTCCCTTCTCACTCAAGTTCCCCCAAAAATCCCTTTTCTCATAACACCCATCTGATCCTTCCTTCGTCACCTGTATACCATGCATGTGTATCAAAACTTCAAAATTAACTCCCCCACGCAAAAAGTGAGTACATCATGGCTGTCCCGTGCCAGACTCGAACTGGCGGCCTTGGGATTTCTATTCTTCGAGTAGTCATATGTGATGATATGAGACCCACGTGATAACCAACTACACCAACGAGACGAATTCAAGCAACTTACTTGAGTTGATGACATAATCGAAAATTTGGCTGCTTTATATATCGAGAAACCGAAATCTGGGGACTAGCTGGCGTTGAGAGAGATGGTGATGAGAGGGACGTGGTGGGGCAGTGGAGTTGGTTAGAAGTGGGGTTGAAAAAACTGAATTGAAGAAGGAAAGGCTAGTAGGGAGGGGGGGCGGGGAGGTAAGTGGTTTTTATGTGTAGGGAATATATCCTAAAAAGGTAAGAACAAGTTAAGATATAAAAATATTATAAATAAAAATCTATACATTATTTTCTATCCCAATGCGTTCAAATATCCATATATTTTTCCCTTCGCCAAAAAATAAGCGTCATACCAATCCTTATTTCCAGTCAAATCATGAATATGTGCCATAAAAAGAAATAACCAAACCACTGCTCCTCCCTCAAGGCCCCAACCTCGTCCCAACCTCCGGACTCCGCGGCCCCATCCCCACGCCCACACTCCCCAACGGCACTCCCACAACGGCACTCGGCAACACGCCATACCGTCCATACGTCTTCTGATCCACGCTCACATAGTGCGGTAGCCTGCCTAGCAGATTGAGCTTCGTCTCGATCCAGCGCAGGATCTTCTCGTGGGGCACAAGGAACTTGATGTACCCGGACGCCCAGAGGTAGCCGAGGGCGGCGCCGCAGAGGTGGCCGAGGAGAGAGGTGTTGGGGACGAGGATGCTGGTGAGGAGGATGAGGATGAGGGGGGTTGTCCAGGTGGGGATTTTGTAGGGGCCGACGCTGGAAGGGTTAGTTGAGGGTGTGGGAAATGGGGGAGAGAGGAAGGTATACCTGAAGTTTGGATTTGTTTTGTGTGTTTTCATTACTTCGGCGGAGAGGAGGAGGAAGACCCATACGCTGGATATGGTTAGGAATAGTTGGAGAGAGGGTGGTTTGGACTAGATGTACCTTGCGCCCATGACGACGGTATTACTCCGTAGCACGAATTTCTCGAGTAATGTGTAGACGCCGCCCGGTATTGTTCCAAAAGCTATTATAGGTTAAGAAACAAAGTTGTATGTGGGATATGTGGGATATGTGGGATGCTTACGGCCGGTGAAAAGGACTAAAGTGACCAGAGTACCGAATTCGGATTCGAAGCGCTCGAGGAGGGGCGCGATGGCGACGAGGTTGAGGATCATGTGGAGGAAGTTGAGATGCATTAATGGGAAGAGATTAAGCCGGTGCACTGGGAATATACAATTAGCAAGCGTCGATATATACATGTCAACATGAAGTCAACGTACTCTGTGTAAGATCCATCTTAGCCGGCTCCAGCCGCGCAAAGTCCCTCAGCCACGGAAAGGGAATCGCAGCAATCCATAGTCCCAAAATAGCGACAAGAAGCCCTCGTGTACACAGTGGCAGGCGAAAGATGTAGGATCGTATGCGGGTAGGGTTGAACTGTGGGAACGAGGGCATGGTTGTTGCAGAACAGGACAGTTAGTTCCAAGGCGCGTCCACAAGGAGAGGGAGAAAGTCGGACTTGGCTTGCATCCAGGATCAACAGCGGCGGCGGTTCGCCTAACAAGCTGACTAGCGCAGTCCTTCCCGCCTTACCACCTGCCCCAGTCGGATCTGGATGGGTTTAGAGTCTTGGGAGCATCGTATACGCTGATTTTCGATTTTCGATTTTCGATTTTCGATTTTCGCCGTCGAGTCCTTTTCTCTCCTTTATTCTCGAGCGCAATTGAGGATAACGACAGTATGGCTTTGATCTGTGAGTAGATGTTGGTTGTGTCAATTGCATGTGGTAGACACTAATTGATGTTCAGCATCACTGCTGGCCTTGAGGCGGGACCCTCGAATCCTCAAGCTTCCTCCATATCTCTCGGCTCTCTGTATTGTTGTTGGTATTGCGTGGCTGCTTGTTCTTCCCCTGAACGAGTACTCGCGCAAGACATATATTTCGGAAAATGCGCTGCTACCCGGACAAGTGCATACCTACTTCACCGGCAGCGAGCACGATGTCTTCAGAGCTTATCGACATGAGGTGCACGAGATGAATGACAAGTCTGTGGAAGAGTAAGAGACATAAAACATAAGAAAAGTAAAACAAAACTAAACAACACCAGACGATCCAACGCACTAGAAGCCATCTTCCTCGAGCAGAACCTCAAAGTCGCAACGCAAAAGTACAACTACACCATTTCCAACCAAACCCTCGCAAACCAAAATGTCTACGCCATCCTCCAAGCCCCCGCTCCGACGCAACCGAAGCCATCGTCCTCATCGGCGCCTGGAAAAACATGAACGACGAAGTAAACACATCAGGCGTCGCCCTCGTCCTCACCCTCGCCCGCTACTTCAAGCGCTGGAGCCTCTGGAGTAAAGACATCATCTTCCTCGTCCCGGCGGATAGCACAATCGGCCCCCAGGCCTGGGTCGACGCCTACCACAACGGCCACGACGAGCGCTACGTCGAGAGTCTCCGTATTAAAAGCGGCGCGCTCCAAGGCGCTGTTGCGATCGATTACCCCGCCGGACCATGGGGCCATCGCTACGATAAACTACATGTTGTCTACGACGGCATAAACGGCCAGCTGCCGAACCTCGATCTCGTTAATACCGCAGTGCAAATTGCAGACGGACAGATGGGCATCGACACTGCGATCCAGCACATGTTCCACCATGATGATGGATACAAACAGCGTCTCACAACGATGCTCAGAGGAATGCTCTCCCAAGCCCTCGGCCACGCGACTGGTCCCCATTCCTCGTTTATCCCTTACCACGTCGACGCGATAACGCTGACTACCGTCGGCGACGGCTGGCACGATGAAATGTCACTGGGCCGAACGGTCGAGTCGTTGTTCCGCAGCTTGAATAATCTTCTCGAGCATTTTCACCAGAGCTTCTTTTTCTACCTCTTGTTGCATTCGAAGCGGTTTGTTAGTATTGGCACGTACTTGCCGGCGGCGATGTTGATTGCGTTGAACTTTAGTATTTCGGCGATGGCGCTGTGGGTAAGGAGTGGGAAACCCGTTGCGACGAAACCCTCTACTCCCCGACTTGCCGCAAAACCCATCGCGAAGGATGGCCCGTCTAAGAAATCTGAAAAGGATCCCACGCCACCAACAACAACAACAACGTCCCCACAATCAGACAAGCAATCCGAAAACGATACCACGCCAGCAGAACCCACATCCCCAGGATCTTCAGCAACAACAACAACAACAACAACAACAACAACCCTCGAACGCTCCCTCCTCCCCCCCTCCTCGCCCTCCTAACAATCCACACCCTCTCCCTCACCCCCCTCTACCTCTTCAACACCCACCCCTCCGAATCCCTCATTCCCCTCTTCCTAACAACAGCAAACACATCCACCCTCCTCCCCCTCCTCCTCGCCTGGCTCGCCTTCTACGCCCCCGACACGCCCATCCCAACACAACACTTCGTCCTCCTCCAATCCTTCAGTTTATTAGCCCTCGGAATGTTCCTCGCCGCCCTCGCAACCCTAAACTTCAGCCTAAGCATCATCGTCGGCATCTTCACCGCGCCCTTGTCCTTTGTCCGCAGATCGAAAACGACGGCGGGCACGATTGCCCAACTTGCCGTGTTGGCCGTGCTGAATCCTGTGCTGGTCGCGCAGTGGGGGTGTGCGGTTCTCGGCGCGGATTTGGGTCATGTGTTGCGGGTGGGCGCGGTCGGGTGGGGGTGTGGGGCATGTGGACGCAGGTTGTTGTTTGGGGGGTGTGGTTTCCTGCGTGGGTTGTTGGGAGTGCGATTGTGGCTGGGGGGTTGTTTGAGTAGGGGGTAGGGGATGAAAGGGGGTGTGTGTATGATTATGAGGTTGGAGATATAAACCGTGTAGAATACTAATAGAAATTTGTGTAAAGCGTTATCGTCATTGGTTCATGATGTTTGTTTATTCATCGTGGCTGGGGAGGCTATTTATGGTTACATACAGAGCGAGCTGGTAGGTGAGGTCTCACGCAGCCCATACATCCTTGCCCACGCCCTCGATCCAGTTGCCCAGCTGGTTGACGCTGGCATCCCACTCCTTCAATCTACCCCGCATGCTCTCAATCTGCTTCATATCCAGCACCTTGGGCTGCACCCAGTTGATCCGAGCAATCTCGGCGACCTGGTCGATTTGGCCTCGCACTAGACCCAAACTAAGGGCCTTCATGATCAAATGCTCAATTTCGTTGGGCTGCACCTTGGTTTCTTGCGAAATTTCGCTAAACGTCATGGCGCGGTCGTGTGGTGGGCGGCGGAAGACGGTTTCGGTGAGGGCCGAGAGTGATATCTTTTGGTAGAGGAAGGTCTGGTGTTCCTTGAGGAGGGGCACTTTGGAGATGTTTCCGGCGAGCACATCGTATGCCCTCAGATCGCCGCGGTTGAATGCGAACAAGAGGTCCCGTAGCCATGAATGTGGGGTGTTGACGAGGGAGTCGAGGACAGGATGGAGGAGCAGTTCTCCAAAATTGTAAATGGAATCTGAGACCAGAGCGGCAATGCTGAGGTCGTAGGCGCGCGATTGGCGGTCTCGTAGCTCCAGATCTTGCAGGTCGACACAGGCGAGGAACAAAAGTGCGTTCTTGTAGTAAGCGGCGAACTCGTGCTTCGACTTGTAGTATTCCGCACTCACGCGGTAGAATGAGGCATGCACAACCGTCTCTACCGAATCAAAGCCCTCGAGTATTTGTTCGCATTCCTCTAGCTTCTTCTTGGCACCTTCCTCATCTCGTAACCGTAGCTGTATGCTGGCAGCAGCGACTGTGGCGTACACGTAAGCGTCTTGTGATGCAGGCTTATTGACACTCTCTGCGAGGCTGTTGACAAATTCGAGGCGCTCCTTGTCATCTGTATTTGTCAGTTCTTATTCTTCTGAATATATTATATTACAAACACACCTTTGCACTGTGTTGCCGCGTTCAAGCCTAGTGTGACAAGCTTGAGCTGGTTGATCTTGTTTGCGAAGCTCTTGATAAAGGTTTCGAAAAAGGGTATCCGCTGC